AGACATTAGGAAAAGGATTAGGTCTTATTGTCATCAATGAAGCAGCTGTTCTTTTAAGATATTTTAAAAGAGGTACTATAAGATTTATTTTTCTTCTTCCTGTTCTCTTTTATTTATGGTAAAATGGAATATGTTTTTTCTTTTGTTTTTTTTTTCAGATTTTTTTGCATTTGAAAAAAGACAAAAAAGAGAAAAAGTGTTATATCACATCAAAAAATAAAGTACATCAGAGCAAAAAAAGTGTCAGTCTTTGATTTAGTTAACTTAATCAAAGACTGAAAATTATTAGATGACAATTCACTTTTTATAATTAAGAATACTAAATAGCCTTCTGACTTGTTTTCTTGTTTTTATTATTAAGTTAGAATTCTGTCTTCTGTACATCTTAGTTCTGCTCTCCTTAGCTTATTTCAGCAGTTCACATATTAAAATGTTAAACTTCCTGTTGACATATGATAAACATCAGGAGGATCCCACTACTGGTAACTTAAGTGTTAAAGTGTATTTCTAAGTTTGATTTGTTTTTAGAGTTCGGTAAATAGTTTGTGCGTGTTTTTAAGAAATGAAATAATTTCATTAATATTGATGAAAGAGATAAGTAGGAACCTTTAATATGACTTTAAACCCCTCTAAAGTTACATCAATCAAATGATAAACCAAATGTTTAATTAAACATATTTGAACATCGTAAAGAACTTATAAAATCCACATATTTTATATTGAGTTAACATTATGGGGAAAAAATACAGAGTATGTCTGACACAGGATCATGTTTGGACAAAAAGTAAATGTGTGAAAACTCTTCACACACTGCAGGAGCAGCCTGTTTGTGGGGAAGCACAGAGCCAACAGCCTAAAAACAAAAAATGTGATGAACTAGGTCAACATTTTTGGTACAAAACTGAAGACACATGTCACAAACCTCTTCCTGGAGAGATGCAAACAAAAAGAGAGACATTTCCAGAATTACTGCAAATAAATCATTGTATCCTCAAAACAGGCTAAGGTAACTACTTTTTTGTGTACTATAGTTGACTTATAGACTGCCTATAGTTAAGCTTTAGTGTAAATAACTAAATACCTGTAAGTCTCAGGAGAGCAGTTCTCCTTAATATGGAATGTGGAACTAAGAACAAAGAATAAAACACCTGCCCTCCCCCAAAAAAGTCGACTAAAAAGAAGGGAGTATTAGAATCGTTCTTTTAAAAAATTCTGTGATTAGACCCGCAGGACAAAGTTTGTGAGTTGCAGTTGTCGGTGTTGCAGCATTCAGCAGATGCAATAGCACTTTGGAAACCCAAGTTGATGGAATAGGTGTGACTGCCTGTCCTGGGACACAGAGACGATGAAGCACAGCCTTTGTAAATTTGTTGATTTGTTGCTCCAGATGAAGTTGCTACAGAGTCAAAAAGCAGTTTGTTCTTGTTAGAAAACATAGAGCACCTCAAAATGTCTAAATATATATTTTATCATGAAGTAAAAAAAAATAACTGAAAGCAAACCTAGCATGACGGCTGTGATGCACATAATCTCTGAGCAACATGTCACTGAAACAGTGCTTAAACAAGCCTCATCAGTACAGGTTAAGCACTGCAGTCCTCCTGAATAAAAAGGAAAAACTCAAATTAAGTACAACTGATTTAAATAAAATAAGGTGGTTTCAAACAGTTCAAAGCTAAATTATCAGGAATTTTGAGTTTATACCTTTAAAGATAACAATTTTGTAACTGTAATAAATGATTCGTTACAAACTCTTTGTCACCTGCTATTTCTGCAGTTGTGGTGGATTGTGCTGTAGGTGTGGTTTGGGGTGCTGTCGTTGGAACATTGCACAAACTTGTTGTACAGCATTCTGGTCCACGCACTATCCTAAAATTATGCATGAAAGGCAAACCACCCAGATTTGAAGCAGCTGCACATGCATTTGGACTTACACAGCCCATTGCTGGAAATCTCTTTGTTCCATCAGTCACTGTTGATATAAAAAGCATGCTATAGCAAGACAGTTTTCTTTAGAAAAACCAATAAATCAAAGTATTGAAACACCAGGACTGCTCCTTATATGTTCTCAGCTTTTAATGACATGTAATTTTCTTTTTTTTTTTAGCGTGGTTTAATATTTTCTTTGAAATTAGCCTATAATATTTACACTATAATACATAAAAGCTTACCAAAGGCTGTGAAGCAATTGTTTTCCTCTCCCTTGCACGTTATTGGAGTGTTGCACTGAAAAGTGGTAGGGTCACAGACAATACACTGAAGGGAGTTTGGTGTCCGAGTAGGGGGAACTGAAATAAGCACAATAGAGAAGACTCCTATTTATTAGACAAAACAAAATGGTAGCATTAGATTTTTGTAAACCTGGGATGACACCTACTCGACAGGGTTTGTGAGTTGCAGTTGTCTGTGTTACAGCAAACAGCATCTGCAACTGCACTTTGGAGACCCATGTTGACAGAAAAACTTGAACTGCCTGTGGCCGGACACAGAGAAGATGATGCACAGGCTTTGTAGATTTGTGTTGCTGTTGCTCCAGACTGAGTTCCTTCAGAGCACAAAAACATAATGTTAGTATCAGGAAACAGGGTATGATCTTCATTTTTATCATGAAATAATTAATTATATTATATTTTTTGTGTCATTTTGGCTTGTTTTGATGCCAGATGCACATTCTGCAATAACGGTATTTATATCTCAGTCCGTCACATTACAGCCAAATAAATTAACCACTCCACAGTGATAAATTATAATAATTAATCTTTTATAACATGGGAATATATATATTTACCTAGGATTCTAGCCGTTATACACATAGTCTCCGAACCACATGTTAATGGAACTGTGCTGGCACATGTCTTATCTGTGCAGGTCACACATTGCAAGGCTCGAGCTGAAATCAGAAAACAATTGCAAATAAACAAAGATTATATTTAAAATACATTTATCAATATTGTGCTGCCATAAAAATATACGTTATATAAAGATATTAGCTACATAAATATTTATGATGTAACATATTTTATTTACCAGAAATAACACAAATATTCTTTGAAAAACTATTAAAGATCGATCATATATAATCTACCTGTGCTGCAGAGGACCCAGAGGAGATTTAGAAGGAATATTAGCTTCATTGTAGTGATCAGATGGATCCTGCCTGTTAGTTTGCTTGGTTATGTTATAGAAGAACAACAGCAGCTCTGCTGATCACTGTAACTGGATGTGTTCTATAACTTTTCAGATAGCTTTCCTTTTATTCTCACGCAACATTTTATACATACCCAGTTAAAATTGTTGGCCTATTTAAAAGCTTTACTGTAAGTTACTAACTGGCTTAGCCACATTATTTCCTTGTTTACCTCCTGTGCATACTATGTGCAGTTGTGAATGTAAATACAATTGAATTTAAAATTGTAAACACAAACTTTTCAACCTTTATATGGATATATCTAATAGCCTAAATCTGAAATTGGCATCCAAAAGATTTTCTAAAAAACTTTGCCTTCTTTGATATCTGGTATTGTTCTTGGTGATTAGCTACAATAAGAGTAAATGGAGTCTGCTGCTCTTACTTAGTGTTTTTCCTTTAAGTCCTTAGTGTTTTTCCTTTTTAAGTCTTTAAATCTTGTAATGATTATATATTTTACATTTTGTTATATATTTTTCATATAAAGAGTCTTATTTTAAGCGCTCTGTCCTTTAGTAAACAGAAAGATTGACATAGTTACCTTTTGATGTCAGAGCCATATTTGCTGTAGAAAAGTGACAAAAGGAAAAATCCTCTTTGTTGCAGAGATTGCTTGTATCAGATTAGGGATACAAAGTTCTGGTAAATGCAATTGGCATAGTGTAGCAATTGTATAATTTTTATTTAAGTATTGTGAAGTTCAGTAATAGATTCTTTTTCTGAAGTTTTTTCTGATAAAGAGGTTACTTTTGTGGTTATTAGATCTAATAACACAGAATACTATTATATGGTTTTCAGGAGCCCATTGCTACCTGAGACAGGGCTGTTTATTTTCACTTGTGCCATGTCATTCTTGCATTTTGGCTCTTATATGCGTCATAGTCACAGTAACTTGTAGCATTACAGACATTGTGTTTAAGGGTGTGTCAAAGGAGAAGTAAACAAAAACATTTCTTAGTCTCTGATACAGTATATGGAGGACCAACACTGCTATTATTAAAAATAAATACAGAAATAAACAAATTCTAAATAATACATAGGCATACATTTACTGCAAAATAAAGTTGGGCAGTAATTGAAATTCACAGTGAGAAATAACTTTGGAAATATCTAATTAGCTCATTTATTCATTCCTCCGTATAATAATTACCTTATTAATTTAACATCATTATAATTTCCACCTTTATCATTTAATTTTATTTATTTATCGGTGTGTCAAAGGAGAAGTAAACTAAGCAACAAAAACATTTCTTAGTCTCTGATACAGTATATGGTGGACCAACACTGCTATAATTAAAAATAAAAACATTATTTATGGGGGGGTGTTGGTGGGGGCACCATCACAAAATGCTTGGCATGTAAATTATAGTTAGAAATATGTCAAAAGTTGTCTAAAAAAGTGTTATTTTATAATATTACCACATTGTCTTGAACATACCACAACCCTTAAAAGTAGACAGAGGGTCTGCCTCACGGACTAAAACTGGTAGTTGGTAGACGAACATGATTACTAAAAGACCTGCTTCTCATTCTACATCTAAATTTTGGAATCTCAAGCAAACCTTAAGATTAAGAGTCATCCAGGTTTGTATGTCTTTGAGACATATCTGTGAGTACTGATCCATGTGGTACTTCACAGGTAACACTGGAGCTTGAGAAAGAATCCTCAACAACATGAACAAGCTACTGAACTTTCTATCCTTTCTTTTTTCCCCAGCTTTTATTGTCATTACACTGTCACAAGTACAGAGCAACGAAATTCACTCTCTGCATTGAACCCATCCCTTTGGGGAGCAGTGGGCTGCCATTGTACGGTGCCTTAAGAGAAGTGTGGGGTTAAGGGTCTTTGCTCAGGGACCCAGAGTGGGAGTCTGTGGGAGTGGGTCTTGTACTCAGAACCTCTGGATTACAAGTGATTGCTCAGGGAGCCAGAGTGGGAGTCTGTGGGAGTGGGTCTTGTACTCAGAACCTCTGGATTACAAGCGCAATGCCCTAACCACTAGGCTGCCATTTCCCTCCTTCTGTTTTTCCCAGCTTTTATTGGAATTTATTTCTATAAGAATATTGTGATCTACTGTTTCAAATGCAGCACTAAGACCTAACATGAAAAGCACAGATATAAGTCCCTTATCTGAGGCCATGAGAATATCATTTGTTTTCCTTCAGCGGTTGTGTTTAACCAATAGGATGAGCTCTAAAACCTGACTAACTCTCTTTAAAAAATGTCATCACAGTGTAAGTGCTCAAACATTTTGTAAACTATTTAAAAAAATATTTTAGATAAAAAAGGAGGGAAATATATGTCTATAATTTATCCACTCATTTGGATTGGGAGAAGGTTTCTTCAATAAAGGTCTAATTACAGCTCCCTTAAAAGTCTTGAACATAATTATTTGGGCTTTAATGTACATGTTGAGAGAGGTAAAAAGAACTGTGACATACTTAAAAGTTTTGGTTTGACTCACCATCTTAAACAGCCAACACTCAATCGAGGACATATTTGGGAGCAGGTATTCAGTAAAGGTCTAAGTAATTTGAATGTTTTTGTAAGTGACATTGCGCTATCCGATCATTTTTCTGTTTACTTTGAAGCCATTTTTCCCACTGCTCTAATTAACAAAAGAAAGCGTGTTATCATGGACAGCAGAATTGAAAACCCTTGCTTGTTGCTACAAGCATGCTTAGTGGGAGGGATTGCATTCGAGTCAATGAGTTGATGCAATCAACTGGTTTTCCTTAGATAGAAAAACTTTGAATCAGTTTGACTGTATGATCTGGTGAAGTGTTTAGTGCCTTGAGATGACATGTGTTGTGAATTGGTGCTATCAAATAAACTGAATTGAACTGAAATTTAATTGCGTATTCTTCTGCTTTCACTTTACCCTATAACTCAGTAGATGAGCTGTTTGATAATTTCCATTCTAAAGTTGCAAACATTATTCATTCCATAGCTTCAGTTTAAGTGAAAGTTGTCTCTGGGAAGATGAAATTGCCATGGAGAAATGTTCCAGCAGTGAGAAAAGAGGGTGCTGAAAGCCGGAAGAAGGAGGCAAAAGAATGGATTCCAAGTCCACTATGATATCTATGAGAAACTTCACAAATATAATACACTACAAAATGCAAGAGAATCTTTCTTCTCTGATGTTATAAAAAAAAAAAAACAACAGTGTCCATGCCTTTTTTTTCCACAGTTGACCCTCCTATCGCTGTGGCTGATGAACTGCACTCTAAAAAGGTCTGCAATGAACTGCAATAAACTACAGTGTAGAAAACAATTGTTCAGTAGCTATGCTCCTTATCCTGCTGTCTTGATGTTTTACCCACGGTTTTTATTAAGAAGTTTTTTTTTTACCTGTTTAAAGTCCAAATTGGTTCAAATCATAAACACATCCCTTATGTTGGGTGCCTTAAAATAGCAATCATCAAAACCACAGTTCAAAAAGAGAAGCTTTGAAAAATTATTCCTGCATAACTAAAAGCCCATCCCAAACCAGCCCTTAAAAAGAAAAAATATTGATAAAGTTGAAAATCATTCTGGCTTAAAGATGTATCTAAATGTACTGTTTATCAGACAATATTTTCCTAAATGTTAGGAAATTGCTATTTAAAAAAAAATCATGTCCTAAAATCTGTGTTCTTTTTTTCATTATCTTATGCAGGCCAGTTAGTTATACGTCAGCTTGGACACCTAAATTCGGCCAATCATATATCATTGGTCATCAATCAAATTTTTTCGGTCTTAGCATCTTGATTCATATGTTGCAGCTAATATACGCAACAGCTGAAATAAAAAATAAGAATAATTTACTTTGCCATTGAGTTACGTCCCAGTGTTCATGGGGATGGAAGCTGAGTCTTCGGCAGGCGAAGAGCTAACAGAACTGGCAGCCTTGCGAGGCAAGGGCTCAAAAATGTACAGCTTTAAGCCTTCTACACCAAACCAAGCTTCTGCCGCCCTGGCGTCCTCTTCCACAACAACTTCGTCCCCACTTTCCTCCTCTTAATAAAAAATATATCACGGAGGAGACTCATCCACGACCACCGACATAAAACTTTCCTCCACTCGCATGTTTCCGCTGTCCTTGACAGAGTCGTTGCTAAATGCTACTTGGTCCCAATGTATTTTCCCATTGGGAACCTACTAGCACTAAGTTGCTAACTGGTTAGCAAGATGCTTCAGACAAACCGGCCACAACTTTCTTGGAAACCTTCTGCCACAACAATCCCGTGCCCTTTATAAATGACCAGTCACATTCACTTTATTCACTCGTGCAAAGTCGTGCACCACTCGGGAGAATTCGGAAATGCAACGGTTGGAACAGACGTCTCCGTACGACTTTAAACACAATCCAGCTGCTTTGATATCGTCCAGTGAGGTTTCCGTGCCAACCACAGTATTAAGACTGCTCTGATTAAGGTGTTCACTGACATTCATATAAATTCAGACAGTGGAAAAACCACAGTGCTGGTATTATTGGACCTCAGTGCAGCATTTGATACTGTTTATCACTTGATTTTATTAGAGAGTCCAGAAATCTAGGTTGGCCTTTCTGTTACTGCACTGGACTGGTTTAAATCCTACCTGAAGGATAGGACCATATATGTGTCATTAGGGAACTTTAAATCCAACACCAGAAAAATCACATGTGTGGTTCCTCAAGGCTCCATTCTGGTGTCTCTCCTATTCAGCATCTATATGCTCCCTTTAGGTCAGATTATAGCAAACAACATCAGTTACCATGACTATGCAGACGACACAGAGCTTTACATTACAATGTCGCCAGGTTACAGAACCAATCAGAATGTTGGCTAGATGCTTAGAACAGATCACTGTATGGATGCACCATAGTTTTCTCCAACTGAATAAAACAAAACTAAAGTAATAATTTATAAAAGGAGGATAGATCCAGAGTTACCTCAGAGCTTCAGCTACTACAGATTGAAACCACTGATTATGGCCAGAATTGTTGCTGGTCCTCCTCCTAAAATGGATAATCAAATGGATGGACAACATCCATCCATTTGATTATCACAAATCAAGCCA